TGACTGAAGATGGAGAACTCTATTTACTCAGAGGTGGAAGTTTCATTAATGACTTTTAATTCATTTCCTAGTCATAATCCAGCCATTATACAAAATGTGAAGCTTTTTTTTTTTTTAAAGATTTATTTATTTGTACATACAGAACTGGGGTACAGGCCAGAGGCTCAGGGGCGGTGAGAGGCTTCACCAGAGACAGAGTAGGGAGCAGAACAGGCCGACTGACGAAGTACACTGCTGAGGGGAGCAGCAGGCGGGTCAGGAGAGGTCTGCCGCGCCATGTGGATCTCCTCCGGGGCAGGCTGGAATCGAACTCATGCAGAAGTTGCTTTAACTCGTTGTGCCACCGGGGGGAGGGGGAGGGCGAAAATGTGAAGCTTTTATATATATACATTTGTATACTCATAGACTCATAGATATTTATTTCTTTATAATTTATTTTTACTTAAATATATTATTGATAATTATTCTATATATTTATATCTAGGATTTTGTTCAGTATTAGGGTACAACAATCTGATGATGAATTTCTTCTTCCCCACCATGTATGCAACCAGACTATCACTTCAAACCCTACTTTGACTCATACAGGAAAATAAAGTAGGTTTCTTACAGCTGTCCACTCACCTCAAACTAAAACGAAGGCCAGTCAGAACTGGAGGAGGCCGGGAGCAAAAGGAACTACAGTGGAAGACTGTGTGGTCTTTGGTGGTGGGAGAGCTATGATGACTAGAGCTAAGAAGAGAAATCCTATTGCTGTTGTCAACTATTAACAAAGATGTAAAACAAGGGCATTTCACTAATGAAAAAAGAATCTTCATAGATCTAAAATAAAATAAAACCAAGTCCACCTGTCTTTCCAGAAAGCCCCCAACACTTCCATCCTGGCAGTGTTCAGCTATTTTAGAGTCTTCCTGGGACCCTTGGCTTTCTCTTAGAGTCTTCTGCTCTTCCCCTTAGCTCCAAAGTTAATTCTTCTTTTTCCATCCCTTCTCTGAACTCCCAACTAGAGCCATCCTGTGCTTTTGCTGTTATCTCACTGGTATAGTGGTGACTATCGCCTTAGTTCAGTACCAACCAGGGAGGTGACCCATGTGGTGCAGCAGACCTCTCCTGACCACCCCGTCCCATGCCCCCCCTCCCCTCAGCAGTGTACTTTGATCTGCCTGTTCTGCTCCCCATTCTGTCTCTGGTGAATCTTCTCACTGCCCTTGCACCTCAGGCCTGTACCTGGTTCTTATAGGCAGAAATAAATAAATCTTTAAAAAAATAAAAGTCAGTAACTGCCAATTATATGCAGAGACAAAATGGATCTTAAGCAAAATTATTCATTATAGTGATTAGATGTCTATTATACAGATTTCCTTAGCCAACCACTAAGGTATCATTTCCTTCTCTGTTTTGCATTTTTCTCCTGCCTTAAACTTCTCTAATTATTTGAACTTTTTAAAGACTTTCCTAGAATGCCTTTAATAAAATTACTTATTACCTCTTCTATGACTGGTAATTATTCCTAAATAATGATATGGTAAATATTAATGAATTAATATGTGGCCTCCCTCTGTGAAAAGACATCTAAAGTTCATGAAACAAATACTTTGAGTCTTCCTATGGTTTACTCAGCCTCTACAGATCTTTTAATTTATTCATTTATTCAGCTTTGTACTGGTCAATGCTTTTAAGGATGAATCAGAAAGGAACATTTTTCATATTCTGGATAATTTAAAGCAGAAGATATAGAAAATGCACAATAGAGAATGACACAATAGAGCAGAAAGATTTCAGCAGGCCAGAAAGATGGGTTAAATCCAACAAGAAGCTTAATAGGAGTGTGTATAAGGGTCTGCAATTTGAGTTGTCCAAAGTTGTGGCTGTACAAATACAGCCAGACTGAAGTTCTTGTGAAAAAACCCTCAGGGGTTTAACCAAGATTAAGTTCTGTAATCATATGAAGCAGCCACCGGAAAAGGCTCCTTTGATCTTAGATCACAGTAATAGAATGATAGTGTCGATGTCATAGCCCCTGAAGTAGAAGGAGGAGCAGGGATAACCGCAAGTCCAGAGCTGGGACTAGTGTCAAAATAAGCTGAAATCCCCAAATAAGTCAAAATGAGATCAACAGCAAGAATTCATGGTAGTACTCCCAGAAGAACTCCATCAGAACTTCTTGAGCATGGGTTGTGAGTATGTGCTTCTCAGACAAGGAGCCTGAACAGTCAAGTGGATGTGCGTGTATTGTGAGGTGCTTTGGGTTACCCCCCCCCCAATAACATAAAAAGGTTTTATAAGATCATTTGGTTCATGTCACCAATCCTACATATTTATGTTATGTACTCATGGAGCATAGCATTTTTCACTCTGAAGCTACTTAGCCCACTTGGGGATGAGATTTCTGATTGAGTCTCGGTGACAGAGCTGAATAGCCCCATGCTTGAGCCATTGTAGCAAGATGTGCTGTGTTTCCTCTTCTCTCTCACACTGTTGCTCCCACACTATTATTCAGTCTTGAATATTAAAGATGTTGGTTTTCACCAACAGCATGCCTCTGAATAGGGAATAGAAAGAATCCTCAGGAGAATGTTTGTAGCTGATAACAAGAGAGAGTGTCTGGTTTTGCAGGAGATGAAATGTTCTTTTGTATGTGAGCAGGAAGCAGGAGATAGTCTACTTCAATAGCTTTTTATACCCACAGGCATGTTGAAATTGATCTTTTCCATCACTATTTTTTATAAAACCTCTTTCTTTGGTGATTTAGTAGGGAAGAGTGCTGTAGCTTATTCTCAGTCAAAGATATTATCTCTCTGGGGAGGGGGAAGGATTGAGAGTCATACCTTCATTTCCCCATCATTCTAGCCTAGATATTCATTTACTCTGAATGTTCAATTTTAAGCTTCAATGAAATCAGGGACAAAACCATGTGACAAGTTGTAGCATCTTGAATTCTTTGTTCAAGTGGTGATACAACTAACGAAAGAAGAGGTAATGAAAAACTGCTGACTGTAATTAAAAGCTAGAATGATTTGGGTGTAATTTAAGTCAGAGTTGACTAGGATTTGATTAACCTCAAATCACTGAGCAGTATACCAATATTGCTGACAGGAATTGAAGATTATGAAGATTGCTTCAACTATATTAAGTACTTGCTCTGGTTCACAGATAAACTTATGGATAGATTCATTTCTGATAACAGTATGTGGAGTCTTGCTTCTCTGTGCATATTTGAAAATCAAACAGCATTGAAAAGTTGTTTTAAATATTGTAGGTTGTACCACGTTCCCCAGAGTCAGCTCAGCTTCTTAGGAGAAGCCCTCCTGAGTTTCGAGGCAGACTCTTCCCTATGCCCACAGAGGACTCAAGTCCCCTACAGCACTGCCATCTCACACAGTACTGTAATGGCTTCGTTACCTGTCCACCTCCTTCCAGATGGGAAGCCCCTCAGAAGGTGGAAATACCTTCCCATTGGTGTTCTTGGCCCTAATGTAATGCCTGGCCTCTGTGAGTTGCTACTGAAGGTAATGTTGACAGCTTCTTGCAAGAGTGAGGAGGAAGGGTCCCTTGGCTCCTGTGAAGTGTCTCCACTGTGACTTGGTGGGAGGCCAGCTTCCACAGGATTTGCTGGCAGCGTAAGGCCCCACGATGCCCAATTTCTTTTTACAAAACAGTGTTGCTGTGGTTTGGAGGAATCAGGTTTGGGAGACCAGGGAGAGTGAGGGGCATTGGCAAAGTAGAAAGGGCTGGTGAAGCAGGCCAGGAGTGATGACTATTGTGATCTGCCTTTTTTCTGAACCAGGAGGGAAGTGCCCTGGGGCCCAGGAACATCTCTTGTTTAGCAGGGCAGAGGTGTGGTATCACTTTGGGTTACCCAACCTTCTGAGGAGGAAGGTTATCCTGTCCTTCAGGAAGACTGTCTGGCCCGTTTAGGAACCATCGCAGTTTCTTTATCAGGGTCATCTGACAGGTTCCAATAGAGCTATCTTTCGAGCCAGCGGTACTCTAGGGGTTTGGCTGCTATGTGGAGCCCAGGATGATTTCAGGCTTTGAGGTAATGGAGACCTAAGAGTGGAATTGGCGTCATCGCAAATGATCAACTGTTTCAAGAAGATCTCCTTCGGTTTCGTTCCAAGAGCATCAGACTCGCTCATCTCCCGTAGCAAGCTGCCATTGGAAAGTTTTTTGTTTTTCTTTTAACACATAGGAAATAAAGTTCAAGTGAATTGCAGGAGCAGTTTCACGCCTCAGCTTTTTCAAAGGTATCATAGCGTTATCCCTTGTTTTGCTTCTAGGAAGTGGAGGGCTTAGGAAATGACTTGGGCGGGTGCATCCATGGACCGAAAAAGACAGACACGCTCCCCAGGGACTTGAGAGGACTCGCAGTCTTTTCCCCCTGAGGTGCCCAGCGAGTGTCCGGTCCCGTCGCACGGTCCCGGTCCAGTCTCCGGTGCCGAGGGTCTCTGGCGCCTTCCGAGTCTGGGGACAATCAGCAGGGTCTGGGTGGCGGGACGGCTCTGGAAGAGCAGGGAAGGGAAGGGATTCGGGCCGAGCCTCATTCCCCATGCCAAGAACAGTCGCGGAGGCGCGGCCAGCTTCCCTTGGATCGGACTTTCCGCTCCGAGACCCGGTGGTAGAGCTCCTGTCCACCTTCCCAGCTACGGGCGGCCCCCAGGGCTGAGTAAGCCGGGCGGAGGGAGCCGGCAAGGATTTCCTGAGCGCCAAGGGAAGGAGGAGGGGACCGGGGCAGGAGGGCCGGGAACCGGGACCCTGAACCTGCCCCAGCCGCGCTGGGCGGCCGCGTCGCCAGCGCCTCCTACGCGCACTTGCTCTCCTCCCCTGCGCGCGCCTGGCCCCCGCCCCTCTCCTGAACCGTGGGGAATCAGGTCCCGGAGGAAAGTAGGTGGGGAGGCGGATGAGGGGTGGGGGACCCCTTGACGTCACTGAAAGGAGGTGCCGGGGTAGGAAGTGGCTGGGCAAAGGTTATAAATTGCCCCCGCCCTCGACCGGTCTTAATCGAGGTCCGCTGGAGACTCGGAGAGCGCTGGGCGGACACTCCCCAGGCTCCTACCCGGCGGCGGCGGCGGCGGCGGCGGCTCCGAGCGGGCTCCGTGACCGGAGCGCGGCGCCCAGGACGCCGGGCTGCGTGGATTACCCCGGGAAGTGGTTGGCTCCCTGGCTGCAGTCGCGGAGAGGGGCGCTTCCCGCAGTGGGTCGGAGCGCCGGGTCTGCGTCTGCGGAGTTTTAGAACACAGGCTCGGGCTGCTGGCCTGCGGGGAACAGCTGGCACCGGCACGCGGGCCGCGTCGCGCTCACCATGGTCAGCTGCTGGGACACCCGGGTCCTGCTGTGCGCGCTTCTCGGCTGTCTGCTTCTCACAGGTGAGGCGCGGACCCGCTCGAGGTCTACACGGGGCCTTGGGACGGAAGGGAGTCACACCCTGTGGGGTCATGGCTAGCCACACGAGGATAGCGAGACGCGAGCCTCGGCAGGAACCTGAAACACTAGTTGCAGAGGGCACACCTGGGGCCGTGGCACCCTTTCTCCAACGCTGGGCCATCAGTGCGGGCGCCTCCGAGAGCAACTGGCTGGGCCCGCCGGCATCACCCGCTGCTGGCACGGCGCTCTGGCACGGCGCTCTGGTCCGCGCTAGGACTTCCCCCTTTTCCGCTGCAGTCGCTGATTGTCGGCCTGGCTGCCGGGTTGGCTCTCTCCGCCCAGACTCCAGGTTCCGAGAGCGCTACGCACCTGAACCTGCCTGCACCCAGTATCTGCTCCCAGGAGACTTGGCAAGGCTCTGCTGGGCCCTCCGGAGCCGGGAGCAGCCGCTCCTGCAATGTCCTCCAGGCTGCGTCGGGAGGGATGGGCAGGTTAGCGGGTTGAACCAAGACCCGAGCGTTGGAGATCTCGTTACTGGTCACCGTGGAGCGGTGCCTAGCGAGGGAAGGACAAGAGCCCACTTGTAGTCGCACGTCTGCGAGGAGCAGAAGGACCCCAGGGAAATGTTAAGCGCTGCTATCTTTAACACTCACCTGGAGCCCTAAATCCCGCTGTTTCCGGGGACGTTCCAGGAACTTCCACGCTTTCCCTCAACACAATGTTGTGTTCAGCCACCTGGCAGGGCGTCCAGGGGAGCAGGTGAGGTGCACAAGCTAGCCTAGATGGCCAACTTGAGTGAATCTGGCTGATGGGGCAATCGAGCACCCAAATACCGTTAAATTTTGAAACTGCAAACCGAAACTTTAAATTCCGAGAGAAGAAAGGGAGAACGATTTGGGCAGAAATATAGTTTGAAAAGTCGGTGAAGTGTGCCCCTTGGCCCGGCGTCAGGAAAACAGTCCACTATTACTGTGCGGTCGGCTGCAGTAGGTGTTAAAGCCCGAGGGGATTTAGGATCTCGGATTGACTGTTTCTGCCCAGCGGGCGGAGTGGCCAAGTTCTTTGGGTCAGATCCCCTAGGCGCCAGAAGCCAGATTTCGGAGCGCCTTTCTTTTAAGCATCGTTAAGAAAAGGTAAAATAAAATGTTATTGCAATGATTCCTGGGAAGGAAGGAATGTCAGTAGGGTTGAGCATATATATGTATTTTTAATGCTTGTTAAGCCTAAAATGCAGTAACAGTTAAACATTCTTTCTCAGTGGGAAGACTAATTATACCATCACTTTCTAAATAACAAGTAATAGTTCCAATTAGAGTGGTGAAACTATTCAACCGAGAGAGCAAGAGAGAACTTAAAATCTAAGAATGCCCTGTAAGTTAGGAAAGTTGCTAAAATAACTTTATTAAATGAAATACTGTTTCATTGTTTTTTTTTATTTTAAAATTCCACTTTTTGTTTTGAAAAATCACATATATATGTTGAGTATAATTAAGTAGAACCTTTTAAGTAAGCTACTGAAGCCCATCTTCTTTTACGTAAAGGTAAATCTAGGTAAATGACAGTGAATCCAAAATATGGAGGGAAAAATACTTATTGAATTTCCTGCTTTGCACATATTCATCTTTAGTTTTGTTTCAAACTATAGTTGACTTGTGAAGTATAGTCCAATTTGTGATCAGGAGTCACTAATTCATAGAAATTGATTTTTTAAAAAGGGAGTTAGCTCTTGTGGTTTCTCTTGGATTTTATTTTACTTAGATCAGGTAGAAATATTGGAACTCTTTTCCAAGATTTTAAATTGTTAATTTCCAATATTTTATAGATATTTACATTTGTGTATAGTAAGAAAGCAAAAGAAAAGATTGGCAAGGTGAAAACTGTGTTATTTGCTACTTGTTGATTTAGGGAATGTTCTACCAGTTGTTGGGGTTTGTGGTTTTAAAGCTTGCCTTTGTAAATCACTGGCTTATCCCTTTGGTTGAAGGACAAGTCAGAGTAAAACAATTAGCTGATACTTTCTAACTTGAAATAGAGCTTTCAAACTGAACCTATAGGCTGCATTCTCTGGGGAGCTGTGTCAAAGGTCAATTTATCTGGACTCATCTGGAGACCCGATCTACTCACCTTCGAGTATTTATCAGCTAAGTAATTTTGTGTGTGTTTGCTAGTGTGAAAGCCTACCTGAGGTGTAAATCACTACAGAGATAATGCATTTCCCCTTAAAACGTATATTTACCTACTTCTAAATGTCTTGAGAAAATGATGCCAATAACTAATATTTTCAAGTCTTCTAATATTGCAGTCTCTTCCTCTAAAAAGGTTGCCAGTTCACCTTTTCTGTATCTCAGTCTTTTTTTCTTCCTTTTATACATTGTGTCCTTGATTAAAGTCACAGACCCATTCTACCCCCATTTTTCTTAACGAGCTGACATTTATAATTTGCTGTATGTAGCTAATTGGAAATGTTTATGAATTTTATGAGGGAAGTCTATATTGTTAATATGAAGTTAAGTCAAAATGTTCTTGAAAATAATACCCATTTACAAACTGGGTGTAATATAGCTTTCATAATGAAAATAATTTATATACCCACTTCAATTTTTTGTTTGTTATCTCCTGGGTTATTGAAGCCACACTATTTTGGTTTTGTTTTCCAAATTACATATCTGAAACGTTAATTATTTGGCACTCTTATCAGTCCATAGTTTTCCAACTGATGGATTGTGTTGCAGATGCATTGTGGATAGTCATCTGTAGTTTCTCAACATCTTACCTTATTTATTTATTTGGTTATTTCAACTTTTCCTTGCCCAGTTGATGCTTCTATAATAATCTGTCCAGCTTCTTTTCTAGTGATCACTAAGTTTTTGTTTTCATATGTAAAATTTAGAGATTAAATCATTAGTTCAAAGGGCCTTTTCTAACTTTAATCTTCTTTTTTAATAGTTTTTTTAAATTTAATTTTTACATCATTCTTCATTTTGTGCCTTTTTCCATCTTGGTTGTAATCCCTGTGGACTTCCCATTACCAATTCACCCAGGTGTTATCACCACAGCTCTAACTTTAATTTCAATGAATGATTCCAAGAACTAAGCAGAATAGATAGTCTCTCCCTTTTCCTCCCTCCCTTCACCATATTTGCATTTGGAATGGATGGCCTATGAAGCCAGCGCTTAGGCTGTGAAGACTGGCTTTCTCTTAGGCTGTGAAGACTGGCTGCTCACAGTAACCACACTGTCTATTCATTTTTATTAGTAGAAAGCACCTGACCACTTACTGTCTTAGTCTTCGGTGGGTTGCAAGAGCTAAACTGTTAATAGATGAAAAAAGCAGTAGAAATATTTTCTTGGGTTTTTGGCAGAATGTGTAACTCTAAGAAATGGATCCTATTTCATCATTTAGTTATATTATCTCTACTAAGGACACCAAGTTATTTAAAAACCCAGGTGCATTTCTTTTTTTTTTTTTTAATTGATCCTCACTTATTTGATCTCAGAATACTTTTTATTCTAAAAGAATTTCAGACATCAACAAGGATAGTAAACTTCTTATTTAAAATTGAACTGACTTTATGTGATGGTAAGATTATACCAGGTAATCACCTTGTTCTTCTTATCAAAATCTGCTGTGAGAAGTTCAAAATCTGTTGCACAAAATGATTTTTTTTTTAAAGATTTATTTATTTGTGCATACAGAACTGGGGTACAGGCCAGAGGCTCGGGGGCAGCGAGAGGATTCACCAGAGACAGAGTGGGGGACAGAACAGGCAGATCGACGAAGTACACTGCTGAGGGGAGCAGCAGGCGGGTCAGGAGAGGTCTGCCGCGCCATGTGGTCACCTCGGGGCCGGCGGGAATCGAACTCATGCGGAAGTGGCTTTAGCTTCCTAGTGCTGTGCTTTAACCCGCTGCGCCACCAGGGAGGGCCGCACAAAATGATTTTATATTGACCCTTTCCCTTCAGATTTAATGTCCTTGAGGTAAGTTATCCAACCAATTATGAAGCTATAACTGCTGTTTACTATGGCTTGGGAAGTTCTGCAAAGCAAGAAACAAATAATAGAGTGAATAGCTTTTGTTCAATGGAACTATGTATGTGAGTGGGCATAGAAAGAAATGGTCTCTGGCATTCAGTTGCTTTAAATGCAATGCTTGCTGGTGTTAGTCTGGTTTTGTTTGCCTATCAAGTAAATATAATTTTCCAGAGTACTTGTGATTGTGGATAGGGGTGGAAGAATATTTGAAATAACCTTAGATTTTATATTTTGTAATTTTTTTATATTGTCAGGGATGGTTAAAACCATCTGTTGCATTTGGTTTAAACAGTTTAAGGGAACATTTCATTCTGTTCCTTTGGTCTTAAGTCTACTGGTGAAGTTTATAAGGAATGACAAGATCTCCTGCCAGATACTTTCCAGGATCATTGTTGATTCCTCACACACTTGGGTGCCTTGGAAATTGTAAGCTGCTGATTAACTTTCTGGATTTTATACCTGATTGAGGGAGGGGAAGGAAATGGGAGGAATGGGGTAATTGAGGGAGGGCTTAAAAGGAAAACCTCTGGCTTTGCATCTGGGACTGCTGGGGGGTTTCATTAAGGAAGTGGTTCCATTGAGTCTGCTGAAGATAGTGACTAGATTTCCTGCATTGCTGTTGGGGCGGATGTGGGGGGGATGTCAAGAATTCCTGGGGATTTCCCATCAGTCTTGGTAAACCTGGACCCATTTCTGATGATTGCTCCTCTCCTTGAGTTGGAACACCTTGAGCGACTTAGTCTTGTCTCACAGACACATACATGTGGGCGCTTGATGGAAATCTCAGAGCTAATCTTTTAACTACAGATAGGTGAATATTGGCCCAGAGCTGTAAGGGATTTTTTTTCTAGGGAAACAGCTGGCTAGCAGCCGGCCTACAAACAAAACTCGATGCTCACACTACAGATAACCTTTCTTCTTCACCTTAATATTTCCTCTACCCATAGAGATGTTAAAATATTTGTAGA